TTTTGATGAAGACACACATATATTCCTCATGCTGAGTTTATTAGTTCACTTTCCATTTTATCAGTCCCAATACCAGAGGACCCTTTCTTGGATCTGGTCCCTAGTTAGATTCTGTGTTTGTGAGGATCATCAAAACATATAAATATAACAATGTAAAATCATGTCCAAACAAAACAAATTGTTTTAAGTTCAAATCTATATCAAGCTAAAGTCCTAACCTCTCTACAAGTTTTGCTTCTTTAAACAAAATCAATCATGTGACATGGTTGACTTCTTGTAGCACGTTATTGGTTTCGATTGAGAAAAACAATGTTTCATAATTGTTTACCTCTAGTGCAAGAGCTGGTATATGTTTCTAGCGCCATGTCATCATTAGAACAGGTCATAGATGTTGATTATACCTTATTTATCGACACTAAATCAGTGATCTCCCATTATGTCTAATGGTCATTAGCTTGAAATCAGTAAATAATTAGGACTCTATTACTTGTATAAATATCTTGTAAATCCTACACTTTTATGATTGAATAAACAGATCACAATTCTTTTATCTCTAATTGTTTTGGATCTCTATCGTTTTTCAACTTGGTATCAAGAGCCTTGTTTTTTTCCTAGATCCTCACGACTCAATTTTTTTCTCCAGATGGATTTACGAGATACCTTGTCAACAAAATTTTATGGACATAGCTATCCAATTTGGAAGTTGCATTTCGAAGCCTTCATTAGAGGCAAAGGTCTCCTTGGTAATCTGGATGGCTCAAAGGTTGTCCGTACAAAAGACAAAGAAAAAGAGGTTTGGGAGGCTGTCAATGGCAAAATTATCACATGGCTTGTCAATTACGTCTCTATCGATATAGCCATGGAACTGAAATCTTTTTTGAAAGCATCAGAAATGTGGCATTATCTTGTCACGATCAGAATTTAGTCCCCAGACGAGACCGGAGTCGTTGACCTCTCAGAGGTCGCAGATAAGCCTACGTACGTCATCTTTACTTCATCTAGATTAATTTTTGCAGAAAATTTGAAATTTTTTTTATACGACATTCACATAAGACATTCTACTTAAACTCATAAATGTTTACAATCAACTATCTAACATTAAGATCATTAAATGAAAGAAATAGTTCATAGCTGTATTAAATGTGTACTTGCCAAAACGACACCAATACAAAATCTGAAATGAAGTGGGAAATGAAACACTAGTGGAACATGCTTCACTAGCTAAGGCCTACATCTAAGCTATATAATAACTGTAGAAAGACTCGAAAGCAAAAGGGCCTACCAAGTCCGGATGAAAGCTCTACGTCCAGATAGCTGTAATGTTGTATTGTACGATATAACGTCCACCTGTGCCTGCACCTAAAAATAGATAATTGTATGAAATTAGTACACACTTATAATAAGTATGGGTATATGCAAGCACACACCAAGGACATGCATGATAAAGAATAGCTCTTTCTTAACAACATGATTTATGGAAAGTCAAGTCAGTGGACTTGCCAAATTTGGAATAGGACGTCATGCCATGAGTGAAACATACATCATCAAACTTATCATTCTACAAGCAACATATAACATATTTCATATATCATATAACGTAGTCCATATCATTCATTCATATACAATGAGACCTTGGGATCATGGACTTGACGTTAGGACTTCCTAAAATGAGGGCTCAACATATGGAATCTCAACTAAGGAGCCTTCTTTAGCAAACACAGAGTCTGCATCATTCATTCATACGTACTTCATTATTCATTCTTGTACTAGTGCAATCAGCAGTTATACCTAGGATGTAGTTTAAGACTCTCATCGGGTTTGCTCATCAATGACCAAGAATAACCTAGCGTCATTACTTAAGTCTAGCTCACCTCTTGATTATCCCATCCTTATACCTTTAGTATCGTTTATTTCATTATGTGCATCATTTGAGGCTGGCCTCATTCATTCTTCAGGAACTTTAACTTTAACTGACATAGATAAAGTGAGCATCATGAAATCTAGTGTCTCCCCCACACCGAAAAGAGATGGAATCACCAGCCAAAGTGACCCAAAACATGCTAGCGTATATGGGAATTGAACCCCGCTGTATCCCTATATTGGCAGTATAGGTTTGAAGACTAGGAGATATAATGATACCCATACTCGAAATGCCAGACAACCTCATCTCATGAGAGTTATGTGAACCTCCGCCCTTCCCGAAAGAAGGCATCACCGCTCATAGCTAGCCTATCGGTGCTCAGTATAAAGTTCCATTACATTCAACTCATACATCATGGAAGTTGGCTTCAAGCATGAGGACATCATAGCTCATTAAATGATTTCTCGTCTCATCATTAGTATTAAGCATGCATTACCTTCAATACTTTCATTAGAGTATTCATAGAGACTGGTCTCTTCATTAACTTTACACTCTCATAGATGAGTACGTTTTGGTAACATTTACTTAGGGTCATTTGAGATTTCTCTCATCTTTCACATAAGCCTCTTATCATGTTGTCACCACATTCATTAACTTTAGCACATTTTCTCTTCATAATTGCTCACCCCTTTACATGAATGTTCATTTAATCATATGCCAATGCACTTGGCCATTTAGTATGTTTCACACTCTTACTTAATCCCTTCTAGGTTTTACATCATTTCATCACATACATCTTAGGTTCACTTACTTTTAAACTTATGCTAGACTTATGAGTCAACACATACAAGCCATGAGGCTTCATTCATAGTTTTTCTAAGTGATTCATGTTTACCCAAGATAATGTGGTACAATAGTTATGCATCTTGTAGATATGCCAAGATATTGATTTGATCTTTACAGGCAGCATTCATTAAGTATTTACTTACGTATGACTTATATGTCAATACGAAATTGGGCAAGGGAACCCGACATCGAATCCCTTGGAAAACACTTAAATAATTCTTTCACCTAATTTTGGATTTATATTTCGGCTTGGGGAACCCGATTTCAAATCCCCTCACTGATATTATTTTTCCTTTCTTTTTCCCTCCCCTTAACTCATCACCTTAGACGTTTTAAGCATTAGGGGATCGGTGATCGAACCCCCATAGCAACATTCATTTATTTCTCTTTTTCCTAAGTTTTTCCCATGTTGGCCGAGAGGAAGTGGGTTCGAATCCCACTCCTCTCATTATTATTATTTATTATTATTATTATTATTATTATTATTATTATTTTAAATTCTCTCCTATTCTCCTCCTTCAGCAAAGAGGTGGTGGGTTTGAATCCCACTCCTCCCATCATTTTTATTAATTTAAAATTTCCCTTTTACTCTCTTGTTTGGCCGAGAGGTTGTGGGTTAGAATCCCACACCTCTTTTTTTATCAGGTTTCACGGAGTAAAGTCTTGGGTTCAATCCCCACTGACCACACATGTTTTAAATTTATTTTTAAACTTCTCAAACTTCAAGTATTCTCACCGAAAATTCCATCACCATGTATTGGAAATTTTATTAAATTTTCTAGCCTTTATATAACAACATTCATACGTTCGTTTTGTGGTATTTTCACAATTTTTTGACGCATTTTTAGGTGTAGATTCATTTGTTGTTTTAGCTTAGATTTTTCCATTTAAGATCAGCCACCTTACACTTCATTTAAACATCACAATCTACACATATTATGCACAATAATTCCAATCATCAAACAAGCCATTTTAAGACTTCAAAACGGAGAACAACAACCAACATTTTACACATTGCACCATATCATTTTCGGTTGACATTATTGAACATGATTGCTATTTCCAAACACAAAATCACAAAGAACATCATATTTCACACTTAGATACCATCAACCATACCAACCACATGATTTCTAACCTAATTTAGAGTGAAATCGGAAGGAGACTAGGGACAAGGAATTCGACAATAAAGGGGACAACCCTAATTTCATAAGTTGAATTTTGTAGAAACAAATTTCTCTTGGAAAAAGGATTCCAAGAGAGAAAACCCATAACTGGTTGCAGCTTTCCAAACCTTCAAAGTGCTACCCAAATCCTCCACTAAACCTTCAACATGATCCCATCGAGAAGATGATGTAAAATTTTCTTTTCTTAAGTTAGCTTGCTTGTTTGTATATTTTTCTTTTGTAAGTTCTTTGAGTGTGGAGAACATTTGATTGTTTTCTAATGTTCTTATTTTTGTTTTTACTGCAAAGAAATTAAAATGGACGAGAGAGAGAGAGAGAGAGAGAGAGAGAGAGTTTTAGGTGTGTGAGAGAGTTTGTGTGAGATAGTGCCCCTTAAAATTAGGATAGTTGGCAAGACTTAGTTAATTTAATTTAATAATTAATAAGTAAAAAATCTGATTTCCCCTTTTTTAATCATCCATTAATTAAATAATATTAATTAATTACATTAATTTACCCACTTAGATAAAAAACAATTTAATTCATTACTTCCACCTAGGTTAGAACCCGGGTGGACTAAGACTTTACTCTTAGAGGCCATTTTCGGAACTCTCTCCTCAAAATATACCTCCACCTTATTAATTAAATAATTAAATATATTTTTAGGATAATTACGATATTACCCTTAGCTTGATAAAAGACCATTTTACCCCTAGACCCTCCAAACTTAAGATTTTCCCCTTTTTAAGTCTGGTAAAGATTCATCCGGGTAAATCTTCATATTCGGGAGCCCTAGATGGATGGACCCAACCTTTCCTAGCTCAATTAACTCTCCAAGTTAGTTGCCTGTGCTGTTGCAAGGGTTTAGAGGCCTGGTTCTACGCGCATCAATCTATGTGAACCCGGTCTAATCGTAGGCATTCTAGACACATTAAGCTTTACTTATCTTATACATTTTTAGGGTTGTTAGATTATCCACCCTTAGGAACATTCGTCACCGACTGGTGTTACTAATTATTTCACGTAATTCCAAACAGATCATAACATAGTTACTACACTAAATCAAGCAATAGCAACAACGAATGGAGAGATAAGGAAACTTAGACTTTACAGTAGGGAGTCTAACTTCAAGAGCTGAACAGATGGGGATAACGGGATCTCATATCAGCCTCTGCCTCCCATGTAGCACCCTCAACAAGATGGTTCCTCCACAATACCTTCACTGTAGCAACCTTTTTGTTCCTCAACCGCTTCACCTGTCTGTCTAGAATCTCAACAGGTATCTCCTCATAGGACAAGTCTTCATCAACCCCTAAACCTTCAACAAGTAGAATCGGTGCTGGATCACCCAGGCACTTCTTCAACATGGACACATGAAGGACTGGATGAGCTAAATCTAGCTCTGCAGGCAATGCCAACTTATAAGCCACCTTACCCACATGCTGTAGGACCTCATATGGCCCAACATACCTCAAACTTAAATTCCCCTTCCTCCCATACCTCATCACCCCTTTCAGAGGTGATATCTTCAAAAAGACCTGGTCACCAACATCAAACTCTAAGGGCTTCCCAGTTATTCGCATATGACTTCTACCGACTGTAAGCTGTAGCCAACATCTATCTAATCACTCTGAACTTCTCCAAGGCCTCATGAATGATCTCAGGAACCAAAATAGATGACTCTCCAATCTCGAACCATTTAACTGGAGACCTACACCTCCTACTATACAATGCCTTAACCGGTGCCATCCCAATGCTGGAGTGATAACTATTACTATATGAGAACTCGATCAAAGGAAAATGGTCGTCCCAACTACCTCTGAAGTCAATCATGCACGCCCTCAGCATGTCCTCCAATGTTTGAATGGTGCGCTGAGCCTGCCCATCAGTCTGAGGATGAAAGGCAGTACTAAGCTTCACCTATGTGCCTAAACTCTTCTGGAAAGATATCCAGAAATGCGAAGTGAACTGAGCTCCTCTATCTTAAATGATAGAACAAAGGAATACCATGCTATCTCACAATCTCATCAATATAGAATCTCACATAGTCCTCAGCTCTGTAAGTAGACTTCACAGGGATAAAGTGCGCAGACTTAGTCATTCTTTCCACAATAACCCATATAGAGTCATGCTTCCTCCTAGTCCTCGAAGAATAACCATGAAGTCCACATTAATGGACTCCCATTTCAAAGTCGAAACCTGGATAATCTGAGTTAGACCGCCTGGATTAAGATGCTCTGCCTTAACCTGCTGACAATTAGGATACTTAGCCACAGACTCAGCAATGTACTTCTTCATACCATCCCACCAATATATATTCTTAAGATCATGATACATTTTTGTGGAACCTGGATGTATGGAATATCTGGAACCATGGTCCTCTGCAACAATCCTGGTCCGCAAATCATCCACATCTGGTACATACAACCTGTCGTGACACCTAAGTATGCCGTTACTTCCCAAGGCAAAAGACTCATTCATCATTGTCAATACTAAGTCTTTCAGCTCCATCAACACAAGATCAAGATGCTGACCCTTCTTGACTTCAACTACAAAGGATGATTCAGAACTAGGATGGACCGAAACACCCCTACTAGTAGAGTCAACCAACCGCACACTCAGTCTATCCAGTCTTGTATATCTTTCATCAACTCCTTCTTCTCATCCTCAACGTGGGATGTACTCCCCATGCTCATCCTTCTCAAAGCATCAACTACAACATTAGTCTTACCTGGATGGTAGTGGACATTCATGTCATAGTCTTTCAATAGCTCCAACCATCTCTGCTGACGTACATTTAACTCTTTCTATGTAAACATGTACTGGAGACTCCTGTGGTCTGTGAACACATCCACATGTACTCCATACAGGTAGTGCCTCCACACCATCAGTGCAAACACCACCGCTGCCAACTCTAAGTCATGAGTTTGATAGTTTTTCTCATGCATCTTGATCTATCTGTACGCATAGGCTATCACCTTACCACCCTTCATAAGAACACAACCCAAACCAATCCTAGATGCATCATAATATACAGTGTAATTCGCACCACACTTAGGCAAGGTAAGCATCGAGGCTGAAATGAGTCTGTCCTTGAGCTCTTAGAAGCTCTTTTCACAAGTGTCCGCCCATTCAAACTTGACTTTATTCATTGTCAAGGCGGTGAGTGGGGCGGCAATGGAAGAAAAACCCTCCAAAAACCTGCGATAGTAACCAACCAATCCCAAGAAGCTACATATATATGTGGGAGTAAGAGGTTTTTTGGCCAATTCTTAACAGCCTCAATCTTCCTGGTATCTACCTCCACACATTTATTGGATACTACATGACCTAGGAAGGTCACTGATCTGAGCCAGAAATCACATTCGCCGAATTTGGCATACAACTGATGTTGTCTAAGTGCCTAAAAGGTTAGTATCATGTGCTATTCATGCGCTTCCTTGGTCTTAAAATAGATAAGAATGTCATCAATGAGTACTATAACAAAGGAGTTAAGGTATTCACGGAAAACTCTGTTCATGAGGTCCATAAATGCAGCAGGTGCATTAGTGAGACCAAATGACATCACTAGGAACTCATAGTGACCATAACGGGTACAAAAGGCTGTCTTTGGTATATATTCATCCCTGCTATTAGACACAAGGGAAGTGGCATACCTGAACAACTTAACAAAATTCAGGAAATACTCCCTGACTGTCATAGATCCTTGCTTCATGTTGGTAAATTCCTCAACCTTATCTTCTCTCATCTCCCTGGGGAAGAATCTCTCTAGAAAAGCTGTGTTAAACAGCTTCCAAGTGACCAGAAATCCGCCCAACGCCCGGCTATCTTGCCACATCTTGCACCAAGTCTGTGCAACATCCTTAAGATGATAAGAAGCTAGCTCATCCTTCTCAGAATCTATGGCCCCCATGGCCACAAAAATCTTGTGGACCTCGTCCACAAAATCCTGGGGATCCTCTGAAATTTTGGACTCTGTAAAGATAGGAGGATTCATCCTCATAAATTCTCGCAGCCTGTCAGCCATGCTACGCACTGGTGGGTTCTCTCTCTCAACATTCTGCCGGTTGACCTGGGCAGTCATGGCCTGGGCCTGCATAGTGATGGCCTGTGCCATCTGGGCCAGAGATGACCGAACCTCCGCATCAGTCAAACCGGATGGGCTAACTGGCATAGCGACTCCTTCAGCTGGAGCCTGGGGTGGAACCTGATTTTTCCCAGCAGCCGCTCCTCCTCTCCTCTGACCAATGTTTCTCATGGTATTCATTTTCTAAAAACAACAAGAGTTGATGTTAGACATGCTCATAACACCAAGAAATCAGACATTAGAAAAAGCACGATAAGATTAGAAGAAGGAAAATTTTCTACGCATCACGCAATCTCTAATTTAGGATAGTGGTGCACTTCACTACCATGACATAGAAACTACTCAATCTGGTTGATGTGAACTTATTATCCTTGGAATTTAACCTAGTGCTCTGATACCAACTTTTTCATGAATAAAATCTAGGCCTAGGTGAGACCGGCGTCGTTGACCTCTCAGAGGTTGTAGACAGGCCTACATACGTTATCTTTACTTCATCTAGGTTAATTTTTGCGGAAAATTTAACCTTTTGTTATACGACATTCGTATAAGACATTCTAGTTAAACTCATAAATGTTTAAAATCAACCATATAACATTAAGATCATCAAATGAAAGAAATAGTTCATAGCTGCATTAAATGTGTACTTGCCAAAATGGCACCAGTACAAATTTGAAATGAAGTGAGAAATGAAACACTAGTGGAACATGCTTCACTAGCTAAGGCCGACACCTATGCTAGATAATAACAGTAGACAACCTCACAAGCATAAGGACCTACAAAGTCCGGATAAGGCTCCACGTCCGCATTGCTGTAATGTTGTACCATACGATCTATCGTCCACCTGTGCCTGCACCTAAAAATAGATAACTGTAAGGAATTAGTATACACTTGTACTAAGTATGGGTATATTCAAGCACACACCAAGGGCATGCATGAGAAATAATAGCTCTTTCCTAACAACATGATTTATGGAAAGTCAAGTCAGTGGACTTGCCAAATTTGGATTAGGAAAGTCATGTCATGAGTATAACATATATTATCAAATTTATCATTTTGCAAACAACACATAATATATTTCACATATCATATCACATAGTTCATATCGTTTTTTCATTTTCCATGAGACCTTGGGTTCATGGACTTGGCGTTAGGACTTCCCTAAATGAGGGCTCAACATATGGTCCTCAAATATGGATCCTTCTTGAGCAAACACAGAGTCTTCTTCATTCATTCATACACACTTCATTTTTCATTATTTCATGTACTAGTGCAATCAGCAGTCATACCTAGGATGTAGTTTAAGACTCTCATCGGGTTTGCTGTGAAATGACCAAGAATAACCTAGCGTCATTACTTAAGTCTATCTCACCTCTTGATTATCCTATCCTTAAACCTTTGGTATCGTTTATTTCATTATGTGCATCATTTGAGGCTGGCCTCATTCATTATTCGGGAACTTTAACTTTAACCGACATAGATCAAGTGAACATCATGAAATCTAGTGTCTCCCCCCACACCAAAAAGAGGTGGAATTATCGGCCGAAGTGACCCAAAACATGCTAGCGTACATGGGAATTGAACCCTGTTAGATCCCTGTATTGGCACTATTGGTTCGAAGAGTAGGAGATATAAGGAGACCCATACCCGGCATGCCGGATAGTCTTATCTCATGAGAGTTACGTGAACCTTCGCCCTTCCCAAAAGAAGTCGTCACCGCTCATAGCTAGCCTATCAGTGCTCAGTATAAAGTTCCATTACATTCAACTCATACATCATGGAAGTTTTCTTCTAGAATGAGGTCATCATATCTCATTATATGATTTCTTATCGCATCATTAGTATTAAGTATGCATTAACTTCAATACTTTCATAGAAGTGTTCATAGAGACTGGTCTCTTCATTACTTTACACTCTCATAGTTGAGTACGTCTTCGTAACTTTACATAGGGTCATTTGAGATTGCTCTCATATTTAAAATTAGCCTCTTATCATGTTGTCACCACATTCATTAACTTTAGCACATTTGCTCTTCATAATTACTCACCTCTTTACATGAATGTTCATTTAATCATTTGCCAATGCACTTGGCCATTTAGTGTATTTCACACTCTTACTTAACCCCTTCTAGGTTTTACATCATTTATTCATATACATATTATGTTCACTTACTTTTAAACTTATGCTAGAGTTATGAGTCAACACATACAAGCCATGAGGCTTCATACATAGTTTGTCTAAGTGATTCATGTTTACCCGAGATAATGTGATACAAGATTTATGCATCTTGTAGATATGCCAAGATATTGATTTTGATATTTAGAGGCAACATTCATTAAGTATTTTCTTACGTATAAAATATATATGTTAATACAGATTTGGGAAAGGGAACCCGCTTTTGAATCCCTTGAACAACACTTA